CCCAAGTTTCTGCTTCTTGGGTGCTTTGCGTTCAACACTCCAGCCTTCATCCAGCAATGCTTGCTTTTCCAGCTGATACTGGCCATCTTTTGCTTGTTGTCATCGTCGTCTCAATGCCTCTTGCAGCTAGGAAGTCGCTTTCATTGAAAACACGAATCTCTTCCTGATCTTGTTGAGGAAAGAATGGAAAATCTTCCTTGATCGCGTCATCTGGGTGGGAGTCCTCCTCATCATCGTCAGAAGAGGGTTTGCTTCTGCAACTTGTTCTTGTTCTGGTTCTGGTTCACCTTTGCGGTGCTTCTTCTCCAACCCCCTCTTCGGAAGAAGAGCTGTCAGCTGTTGCTATATCGTTCTGAGAGTTGCCACCAACAGAAATGTCATCGTTTGCCTGGACCTCGATCGACTCGTTGTTGGCCACTGCTGGAGCAGCATTCTCGCTGTTCTCATCACTTGCATCATTGTCCTGGTCAGCGGTAGGAAATTCCTTCTCTTTTGGGTGCCTCAACATTTGGGAGGTCAATTCTACAAACATCATTGTGGGCTCCCCATTGCCCGGGTCACAAAGCTCAACTCTCCATCGCTTAGGACCAGTTGCTTCTCGAATGATTGCAGGAGACTTCTGAGACTTCAAGATGACCTTTGAGCCGGTACCAAGGCGTTTGTTTCCGTTGATGCGAGCCGATGCGAGCCGATGAGAGCGGCCGCCACACCTTTAAGACTACCAATCAAAACAAGATAGAGCACGCCATATTACCCCACTTCTACAGATATGATGATTGCAATGAGCGCCTCCGATGCTCTCAGAACTGGCGCAGCAACAGTGAGAGCAGCAACTTGCAAACTGAAAATAAGGAACATTCGTGCAAAATTGTGGGAATCAATGAATTGGAGAGCGCGGCTGGCTGCATCCAACACGTCATCAAGACGGATCAAGACATCCCAAGAACTCAAAAATGTACTCAAATATGATAGTAAAAATATTGATCAGTAATTTCAGTTAATAAAGATTTAAAGAGTTACGTTTTGGATTCTTGATGGCAGCAGCGAGGAGCGATTGATTCGAATAGACACACAATCGCAAATAAAGCACCGAGCACAATCCAACCAACACAATGGGATAATAGACGCCGCATCATTCAACTACTTGCGCTGGCGCTGGCTACGACGGAGAGCAATACAACGGGAGTTGCGAGCAGGGACAACAGGGACAATGGAGGCGACGGCAAATGGCTCTTGAGAGAATCCCACAGCTGCGGAGTAGTCGGAACTGGTGTCACTGTCTTGGAGATTGACGCTGCGATCAAGGCGACTTCCAATGAACTCGACTTCTGCCTCCAAGTCTTCCTCCACCACGTCTTCTCGGCCTCGTTGTTGGTTCCATTGTTGGTTCCTTCTTCTCGTCCTCCTGCACGTGCCGGAGATTTGTCGGTACTCGATCCACTACTGTTGAGAAAATCAACCACGGCTTGGCGGTTGGCCAGGATGGATTCAACTTGCCCTCCACGGTTGACAGGAGGGCGAGCTGGTGGGGCGACTTCTTCCACTGAGCTGTCATCGTCTGAGCTGGGCAGAATCTCGGTCCCAAATCGGTCAAGCTCTTGGATTTCCACGAACAGATTTCCTGGCGTTCCATTGACCACCACACGACAGCTGCGACCAGTGGCCTCTTCCACGAGGCGGATGTTGAAGGCAAAGTCAGTGAATGAGTAGCGAGGCATGATTGGTTGCTTGACTGTTGATTTGTGTTGTGAGTGCTCGGTTGTGAGGTTGTGATGTGACGACCGGAGGACCGGAAGTCCCCAGAATTTTCCCGCGGCTTTCAGGTGAACAAATCCAAATGCCAATGCTTTGATACTCCACTGTACTGCTCACAGCCTTTCCTTCTGTTTGAACCACAGCATTGTCTTTGTATTGGATTATTCAAAAGGAAGCGGGCTTGATTGAATCGGCGCGACTCGACTTGTCTTGCGTCCGGAGTTTCCTTGGAAGCTCACTTTCTGTTTGGTCTATCCGTCCAACTCTTCTCCATCTCACCATGAACACTTCCATCCGCTCCTTCGTCCTCCTTTTGGAGGCTTGGCTTTACTGGATTCGCTCTCGCGTTTCCAGTTCAATTGCTCGGATTTACTCATCTTTCCTTCTGCTTGTAGGCGTGGTCCGTTCGGCCTGTTGCTTCCTTCTTGGACATGATGTTGAGTGGACTGATGTTTTCTGCTTTGATGAGGAATCCGAAGATGTGACGGTTGTGGTCCGCGTGGCCTCCTCTCTATTCAACAAGCGGGTACAGGGCCTTCTTGTTGTCCAGCAATACGGATCTTCCAGTCTCTTCCGTCTGTTGATTGATGGTCATGAAGTGATTCCTCGGGCTGATGGTGGAGGAAACATACAAGGCGATCGGCTCATGGGTGCTCTGCTTCTTCCAGATGGTATTAAGTGGACTGTCAACACAAAGAAAGCTAAGAGTGGCAACGCTTCCACCATTCGAGGACGTTGCACCTACATTTCCTTTGTCGACAACTTGACTGGCATGACGTCTCTGCAGGTCACAACGATCCATGACACACGCAACAATGGCAATGGCAAGGCAGTCGGCGCTCTCTTTGAAGAAAAGATGAAAGCCGCCGCAGAGTTGGTCAATAGCAGGCCGAACACAAACAACATGGTGACCATTTGAGGTTGGCGGACTATCGGTCCTCATTGGTCATCGGAATGAGTTGTTTTGTACTGTTTTACTATAGGTTCTCATTCCGCGGATTCAGGATTTTTGTGCAAATCAACTGACACGATCCTCGATTCAAAGCTGCTCCGTATGCGACGACCATGGCGTCTATTCAAAAACGGATTGCGCCGATCAACACTTTATATATAGTAGATCAAAAGACTGTATTGTCCTATCCTTCATTTTAGCCATGGTTACTATCTCTGACACCGTCAAAGTAACACGGATGGGGTCCGCACCGTGACTACCTCCATCCGCGGGAAACTGCGAGGCACTAGTAACCAAATCAGAATCTCCAAATGGCCACCTGCTGCAGCTTTATGGCATGTGAATTCATCACCTTGAGCAGAACCTGAGCATGCCCATTTATCCCATGGACAACCATTTTCGCGAGCCCACTTTAGAATTTCCAAGTGTCCATCTTCGGCAGCAGAGGCACACGTATCTGCATTCCATGGACAACCATTTTCACGAGCCAACTTTAGAATATCCAAATGTCCACTTTGAGCAGCACCATAACACGTATCTGCATTCCATGGACAACCATTTTCACGAGCCCACTTGAGAATATCCAAATGGCCAGCAAAAGGACATGCACCCCATTTCGAAGATGTGACCCGGAGGCTCACTCTTTTTTCATCGCTGGCTTTGCATTCGTGACTTAAGGTATCGCTGCAGTACCGGTAGTGGCGGCCCTCCCACAAACAAAAAAAAGAGACCATGACGACAGATAGCAGTAACAATGTATTTGTCGCAGCTTTGGAAGCAAAACTGCGCAACTTGGCTGGGCTAGATGATAAGGAACGCAGCTTATTGATTGCTACGATTGCAACACCAGCCACCGATTTCGTGACTGTTTCGCTGAAATACAGCAAGTTCGGTTTGACAACGATTCAAGACATTGCCAAGTCGGCGGTGACAGTGAACTTTCTGAACGAGCAGGCAATTGCCAAAAGGGAGAGTAGATTAGGTGAGGTTGAGTTCAATATTTTTCTGACAAGGAGTGCAATCATGCTGTCAACCACGAATATTTGCGCAATACCAACTATCCACGGACGTTATTTATAAGAACAAAGCAAATTGGATTCTCGGAATTTGGAGCGGAGGATGCGCTAAGTTATGCAGGAATTGGAAAGATCCACTTGGTGGATGAGACCGATTCACGATTTCCACAACCAGCTAAGATCGAAGAATGCAATGAGTATCTGCTGCATGCGGTGAAAGATCTTCGCCTAAAACATAAATTGTATGACCCGTTGGAAGAGGGATGTGAAGAGACGAGGCGAGAATTTATATCTGCGGTTCTTGTCCTTGCCGCAACGTTTGCCGGGGTCAAGCTTGCCTGCGAAGAGGAGATCAACGGAAGTATTGGAAAAGGTCCAGTTGATTGGACTGCGCACTACGAAAATCACAGAATTTGCATTACTGAAGGGAAAAAGGACAATATCACACAGGGATTGTATCAGAACCTTGCGCAGCTCACGGCTGCTGGAGAAGTTCGACGGCAAAAGCGTTCTTTTTGTGTTGATTTGCCTCTTTACGGAATAGCAACAACGTACCGAGAATGGATCATTCTATGTTTGGATCCAGCAGCTGCTGAGAGTCGAGCGGGCATTCGTTTACCGACTCTTTGAGTCGCGTGAATTTGGTGCCATTTCCCTGGTGCAGTGCTCCTAAAGGAGAATGGCACCTTCCACGTCAGTTGAAGTTGTTAAATCCTTAGAAGAACCTAGTGTTTTTTAAGTATTTAATGAGTAGCCAAAATTTAACCAGTGAGAGACTCAAAGACTTAATGCAAATGTACCAAATGTGTCTTTTGTGCGAGGACGCGGAGACCAGCCTGTACAAAAATAAAATTCCTTGTTATTAAGAATCTCCATGGCATGTTGACTCTGGACTCATGTACCAATACTACATGCTGCTGCTGCTGCTGCTGCTGCTGCTGCTGCTGATCTATAGCTACTAGCTAGCTAGCTATCAATGACTGAGTTACAAGTAGGTTTTATCTACTACAGAGCAATCATTAAAATTCTACTAACACCAAATTAATTGTATTGCTCTAGAGCTTGATTCAAAGAAGCGATACCATCTTGTTTGACTGACTTGGATCATCATCTTGTTTGACTGACTTGGACGAATCTCACAGAGCTCATCTGTTGGAAAAGAGGTGGGGGGAGGCAGGTGCCGCTGCAGTGATTCAAGTGCTGCAAAAGCTTGAAAACTAAGTGTAACTCATTGTAAACAGTGTTGCCGTTGCTCTGTTGTCTTTGTAGAGTTGTTTACAATGCAAAGCTAGTTGAAATGACGACCACGTTAGTCGTCCTCCAATGTTCTACGCCAGTTACATCAGTTGCACGCCAGTTATGTCAGTTACCCTACGCTAGTTACGCTAGTTACCTCAGTTACTCTAGTTACGCTAGTTGAAGTGCCCCTAATTTTGGTGCAGTGCGGGGCGAGGATGGTGCAGGAGAACTGCACCGGCACCAAATTATGGCACCAAATTCAACTGACCCGACTCTTTCCATCAACGAGAGAAAGCACTTGAGAGAAGATGTACAGGAAGTAGCTGCTCAGATTGCAGGTCTTCTCTTGGACCAAAAAGAACGGAGTCGCGAAAACACAGGAACAGAGTCAAAGAAAGCAAAACAGTGAAGTAATTGTTTCTATGCGACGACGACAATGATCCAACCCCATCAGCACTGTCAAGACCTTCGGGACACGACACTGCAGCCTATGCAACAGGGAGCGACTCGAGATACTGAAACGATCCAGAATCGCCAGAAAAGCTGATCAACTCCTGCAACGAAATATACGGAGCATGCCGACATAAACCTCGATTTCATAAGTACCACAATAGCCCAAGCACTGATGATTCCCAAGGGGGATGAAAAAGTCAAACAACCGAAAAGTTACCACAGAGTGAAAGCTCGTGTTTTAGCGATTCGGCAGTTTGTGAGTAAACTTACTTAGTTCAGTCACTTTTTGCTAAAATCGTATGATCCTTTTACATTCATCATACAGGATGACTTCTTTCACCCCTGACAGGTGTCAAAATGGATTCTCGTTTTGGCCAAACCAAAATTGGAAGCAGTCATTTCTAACAAAAAGGGTCATTTCGCAAATCCTGCATAGCAATGACTACTTCCTAGAAAGAAAAGATTGAAGAAAATAAAATGAATATTACCACCATGGCAACAGTGTTGACCAAATGGCCATTAGCTTTACCAATACATTGATCTGATTGACTCTTTTCTAGGAGTAGCTCCCCAACACACTCACAGACACTCCCCTTGAAAAGAGTCAATCAACTCTAAGGTTTCCTATGGAGCCTCAATAAAAAATCAGGCTTGGATTCCATTTTGTTGTCATTCTGCAATGCATTTCTCCATGGGAAAGGTGCTCCAGTCCTCACTCTCAGCACCCAACCTGCACTGTAGCGTCTGGTAGAGGAGTGGGTGGCTCTGCATGAAGACTGGAGCTCCCATCCCAAAGGTTCCAAGGAGAATTGTTGGTTTGATGGCAACAAAACGGAGATTTCATGTTTGTTTGTTGTCGGTCAACCAGTCAATACAGTAGAAGAGTAGATGCCGCTTGTTCCTTTTGTACTAGCAGTAGCAGGAGCCTTGTTGTGGGTCTGCCAGAAGAGTGACAGTGTGGTCGCGATCGACTCGAAGACCGAAAGATCGATACGAAGACCGAATTGATCCGTCGAACGGAAGACGCTTGCATGTTGCCATCGCTTGTTGTTCTAGTAGTAGTAGTCGCTTGTTGTTGCATTAATGGCGGAGGCGCCGTCGCTCCGTGGAAGAGGAGGCGTCATGGTCGCGGCTCCGTGGAAGAAGAAAGAAGTCATCAACCGAATCGAATCGAATCGATCCGTCGGCCGATCGCTCGAACGGCTGCCGCTTTCCAGCCTAGCCAACCAAGAGGAGCCTGTCATGGTGGTGAGTAGTAGCCGCTGTTAAGAGGAGTAGCCGCTGTACGGTAGAGGAGATAGCATCATCTTGATAGAGGAGTCTATAGAGCAAAGGTATCGAAATATTGAACACTGGAGTGGCTTGGACGTCCCAGTGATGTCAGTTGAGTTTAGGGATGAGGCTACTGGTCCTTTAAGTCTTTTCACGGAACGTTCCGTTTTGCTTTCGAATGTCTTACCGGGAGCGGGCTTGCGTTTGTTTCGATAGCTTAGATTCAGCCTGTAGTACCTGGTAGCCGTTGAACAAGAACGGCTTTGCCGCTTTCCGCAACGGCTTTGGAGCCTCAGTCATGCTTTTGATACGACTCAACTCCACTCCTCAGCAGGAACAGACCTCGGGATGCTGAGTTGCAGAACACGAATTTTGTTCGGAAGTGACGAGGACGTGAGGGAGCGACCATGATGCAAGAACCAAAGCAAAAACCCCACGCTGCCATAGAAAGAACAAGCTAAAAGACTACCTTGAGCTATCCGCCTGCCGACAATAGAATAGTCAGTTGTCGTCTTGAGTACTGAATCGATTGTTTATCAACGTTATTTCTGCAGCACGATGAGCGCCTCTTCACAACCTTCGTCCGACAGTGACAACTCATTGAAGTCATCAGCTCCTCCCATTTCGGCGTTTCCTCCTCAGATGAAGAAGCAAGAAGACCCCTTCCAAGACCCCCTCCAAGACCCCCTCCAAGACCCCTTCCTAGCCATGGATGTCTCTGCCAAAACTGACATTACCCACACGGAAGAGGAAGAAGAGGAGGCCATTATTGTTGAGGAAGTCCAAGGAGAAAAACCTGAAACAGAAATACCTCAAGTAGAAGAACATAGCGAACGATTTGAACGTGGCGATCACGTCTATCAATGGTGCAGTGTGTTAGGCATTCCCCGTGCGTTTCAGCATCATGGGATTGTGATTCACGCAGAGGACATTCCTTCTATCGAAGGCGACGCAGAAGTGGAGCAATTGTTGACCATTGCCGATTTTTCCAATCTGCTCTTTACCGATCAACGGGGCGGTAGTAGGACTAACCATGAAGATTCTGCCGTCACTACTACATCTAGCAGTATGGCGCAGAGTGATTGTTTGGAAGAGGAGGAAGAATGGCATTCCGTGACGGAAGCGGAAGAAGAACTGTCCAGAGCCGCCACACGACGACAAGCCAGTGGCAGTAGCGGTAGTTTGCCGATCATTTTGAAAAGTGGATCTGGAAACCTACACAGCAAGAATGGAGTCTTGCGCGTCTACACGACAATCTCCACCAAGGAGCACAAATGGCACAAGGTCAAATACTCGGCCAATTGGTTTCATGCTCATTTATGGAAACGAAGTGGAACCTGCACACCCGCCCCCTGTGATCCACCCGAAGCGGTCATGCACCGGGTCAATTTCTTACTCAACCAATCATCCCTGCTCGATCGAGACGACCAATCCGTTCTGCCCAAGTACCATTCCATCTATGCCAATTGTGAGTGTCTGGCCGTGTGGGCCAAGACGGGTAACTGGTCGACGCTGCAGGCATCCTCCATGTTGAGTCATGCGGCAGTGGGACAAGTCAAGACAACCACCACGTTGGCCAGTATTGCGGCGGCACAAACGGTCACGGTCCCGGCGGCGGGCATGTGGGGGTGGATGGGGTTCTCCACATCGGTGCCACTCATGACGGCCAATCCATTGATCCTGCCGGCGCTTGTCACGTATGGGACTGTGTCAGTAGGACTGCCAGCCGTCTATTTGGCCATGGCCAAGTCACGGTGGAACAAAACAACAGAGACACTCAATGAGGCGTTGGCGGCAGAATCGAGAGAAGTCAGTTTGGTGACGTAGTATCAAGGAAGTGGGAATCGATGGCAGTGTCATAGCCTCTGCGCTCTGCTTTCTTCCATGACGACTTGGAGAATAGTTCCAAAATGTAATGTAGTATAGTACTGAATATTTATTCTGTGATTACAGCGTGTTATAACTTAACGCCATAGGCTGGGCGCAGGAAAGTGGTTCCTTCGTTCTTTGCCGTTACAATAACAGTGCCCAATAGAAACATGCACAAGAGCACCCAATTAACTCCGATTATATCTCCCTCTCAGCCTCTAAAAGGGTGGATACTTAATGTCGACTTCTTCTGGCGAGACTTCCTGCAACACTTCCCCATCATCAAACATTACGTCCACATTTCCAGACGGATACACCATGCTCACAGTTCCCTGATAGACATCATCATCTTCCATGACTGCCGATACTCGCACTCCCTCTTGCAAACGAACCATCTTGCGAAGGCGACGAATACTCACGTTTTCTTCGTATTCGCCATCCTCATACAGGATATCAAACTGGGAACCACCATTCGATCCAATCACATCCGCAATGGTTCCCTTGTACCAAGTGTTCGAAATGCTGTGGAACGCCATAACCTTGGTTCCCACACGAGGCTCAGCTTCCTCTTTCTGGGACTTGCTAGCAGAAGGTACCGGTACTCTGGATGGACTCCATACAAAGGCGGGTACTGTCGTCGTCATTGTCAAACGTTCCGTGACAAAGGGTCTGGGGCGGACTGTCCAAGCTTCACGGGCAGGTTTCTCCTGGTCAAGCGGCGTGTAACCCGTAGAAGAGGTTGTGGCATGCAACGGTTGTGTGGTTGCCAGCAGACGCTGGCGAAATTGTTGCAAATAGAGGATTGATTCCATAGCCAGAGCCGTGCCACGATGATAGCCAAATCGGTAGTCAGCGACAAGGTAGCTGATTTGTTGATTGAGTGCCTTTCGCATGACAGAAGACTCCGTTGCCATGACCGTTCGAACCATTTCCATTGCATCCCTGTTTCCCAAAACAACCCAGTCACCACTCAAATGATCTTGCTGCAAGATGCGACCGCCGTTGGTGTTTTTCGACACTTCTGCTAGAGCATCGTCCACCAACTTTTGCAAGAGGACGGGTTGGTGATTGTTGTCATTGCTGTTGAAGATTGGGTAAGCAGCGGCTCTGGAAGCTACAGCGGCTTGAAAGATTTGATTCCCAGGGTGATAGTCCAACCAACGATTGTAGGATCCCAAGTAAGGAGAATCATAGCGAGTTCCAAAGAGCACATCCATGCGATCAGGAAAGGTTGTAGGACCTTCTGGGACAGTTGGGTCGGCCTCAAATCGTTGTGAAGTAAACTCATCATCTGTCGGAAACGGGCGTCGAAAGGTCAATCCTTTCTTGATGTTGCTCCCCCATGGTGACGTTTCAACTTTTGTAAGAACAGACCAAGTGATGAAAGCAACTAGGCCATGTGTGACAATCAGCCGAACCAGCACAGCTCCCAGCCTGGACATGCCGTGTTTTGCGGAACGGGGTCGAGAAACCAAGCTGACAATGACAGCCAACATCAAATACACCGTCAAGACCACCGCATTGACCGCCTGCAGAAACATAAAGAGTCTATCAAGAGTCTCCTGAACATATGTTTTCCACGCATTGGGCTTTTCAGAAAAGTCTCCTTGAAGCCATTTTGGCACGTGAAACAAACCATCCATCTTGAGTTGGATAAACGTCTGTAGATCCTCCGCTTCCATTCCATTTTGCCCATTCGTGGCCCGCAACGCTGCCGACAGCAACAAGTCGTACCCCCATTTCTTATTGCTTGGTTTCCAAAGTGCCAACGAACGGAGAATGTTGAATGGCCAGGACATGCTCATGGCTTCGTCCGTAGCAATGTCACTCCACGTATGTCCCCACATGAGCCATTTCATGTGGAAGTAAGTGCTGATGATTGAGATAGTTATTGTTGTTCGTGCAAGAGCGGTGAGATCTCTGCAAAACTTTAGAATACAGACATGTTTCTTCCGTGGCTTACCCTCTTGCTAGCTGTCGATGGTCTTTGCCAAGTTGGGGCCTGGCAGTAAAGCTGACAATGAACAGGATGCGTTCATTGTTACGTGGATCCGTGTGCTTGAGAAGCAAACATGTGAGAGCGTGAAGCGAGTTTATGGTTAGCCATCATCGGTTGTTCCAAGATCATCGTTATTATTGCGGCCTTGACTGTGAATGCATTGCTCTTCTTACCTTGGATCCTCCATGCCAGACTTGCTGATTCAACAAGACGCCGTCACCCGCCTTCCAAACATTGTCCTTAAAAGCTTGATTGACTCCAATCATTTCCCGAAGACAGACCTCTTCCATGCTGTTGGTACAATAGTGGGTTCCCGGACACAACTGGGTCACACCCATCCTTTCTGTAATGGCTTGCACGGGGATAAAGAGCGAGTATGTGTGCGCGTACGTCCGGGCGAATTGACCGGCATACCCATCGGACTTGGTATCCGAGTGAATGACTTGATCCTCGGCACCATAATAGGATGTAATGGCAGTAATTTCCGTCAGAGCTGGATCGGGCACTCCCAAAACTTGCTCCAACAAGTCTGGGAGCAATTTGTGCGAGGTAATTTCGGCCAAAGCGTCGGAAATGGCAAAGTCTTCGGTAGCTTCAATTCCATAGCTCAATCGCTGGTGTCCTTGCGACATTGGAAATGCTTCTTCATCGGTAATCATTTTGTTCTTGTATCGCAGGTACTTGCGGAGTCTGGCAATGGTTTGTGGTCTCAGCAATTTGGGAACGGTGGTGGCACCGTGTTGGAGCAACGTGTCCAAAGACTGTTCGGTTGTCGTGTTGCCAGTGCTGTGTGTGAATCCTTTGGTGACATCTTCCGCCAAACAACCGCGTTCATAGTATGTGTACTCTTCCAACAAGTGAGCATCCGTGCGTCGAGCTCGTTCCATAATGGGCATGTAGTACTGAGTCCACGCGGTTCGCATGCCATAGACAACGGCCAAACTCACAAAGAGAAGCATCAAGGGAAGATCCAGGACCAGGCAGCGTACAAACGTCCAGCTGGCGGAGGAGGAGCCCTCCGATGGAGCATCTTGCTCGTTCAAAAGAGAAGGACTCTTCTTCTTCTTTTTGACGGGTGTCTTTATTTCTTGGACCGTGGGCTGCTCGAGGAAAAATGGTTTTGGAGCAGGAGGAGCTGACTTTTTCTTGGTAAAAAAGAAACTACTAGAAGCAGTCTTTTGGTTCTGCAAAGCTTGGTCTTCTGGAGGCTGTTGTTGCTTGTGCGGTTCGGTCAAATACTGACACAACAAGTCCAAATCCTTTCTCTTCTTGTCGGCCAATGACGACACCAAAGAGTCCACTCCATTTTTCTCTTCTTCCGACGATTGCTTCGTCTTGGCATCCATCGCCTTGAATCGCTCTTCGTTCTGCTGATCGCTGCTGGCCAGTTGGCTTTGTCCCAAGGTGCTGTTCATGGTCTACTACTACGATTGTAGCAACACGGATGGGTGGTTGGTTTATTAGTGGACTGTCACGCCATCGTGGAGGGATCACTTGCTTGCTCTTCGCATTGTCAAGGCGGGCAACTCGAACCCTGTCGGTTGAGGGGACAATTTTTCGAAATAGCATTATTATTGCTACGCCGCCAAAAGATCGCGAGATCCATCGTCAAGAGATCCAGAACAACAGAACATGGGAAGTGTCTGGTACCAGCACCATCAAAACAAGCAACAAGTATTGCCCATGTTTCCAAGTAGCATCACCATGAACCAATTGGCAAGATTTCTTTTGTTGTTGGCATTGCTGATCTCCACCAAGACACGAGTTGTCGCAGCTCTTCGAGATCCCTTGGATCGGCCCAACTTTGTCCTCTTCTTTGTGGATGATCTGGGATATGGAGATCTGGGATTTACAGGACATCCCACAACCTCCACTCCCAACATTGACAGACTTGCTTGGAATGGTAAAACTTTGACAACTTGGTACTCTGGATGCGCTCTATGTTCATGCTCCAGAGCCGCTCTCATGACAGGGCGCCAATATCCAAGAACGGGAATTCGACAGGTGCTGGGAACTGTTGATGACCTAGGGTTGCCACTGGAGGAAGTCACTATTGCAGAGCAGCTCAAGAAAGTAAACTATACCACTGGGATAGTTGGAAAATGGCATCTTGGTCAGCGATTGGCATACTTGCCAGGAAACCAAGGCTTTGATTATTATCTGGGAATTCCATACAGGTTAGCATGACATGAGAGGCATACTTGCTTGTTTCGTGGTATACTTTATTTTGGTTTGTGTGGAATAAAGAGTCCTCAATGCTCAAATTCTTTGTTTCCTTTGTATTTAAATTCTCAGTGATGACATGGGAAATGGCAAGCAGACAAGTTGTCCTGGAAACAAAGCCGAGGATCCCACAGAACCGGTGCAGGAGCACTTGAAGGGGAAACCAATACCTCCTCCAGATGGTGACTATGCTGCCTGGTATCTTCCGCTTCTCTATCAAGAACACAACAAGACAAGAATCATTGAACAGCCTCTGGATCTCACAAAGCTGGCACAAAAGTACAACCGTTTTGCAACAAAGTTTATTGAAGACAACAAAGATGAACCCTTTTTTCTTTACTTTCCTTTCAACCATGTTCACACAACATCAGGGAACAATGACAAGTGGGATACTATGCCCAATCGACAATTTGCATCCTGTGAATTGAAGAACCGCACCAAAAGAGGGGCATTTGGAGATGCTCTAGCAGAAGTTGATTGGATGATTGGCAATGTGTATGAGACTCTGCAACGTTTGGGACTAGAAGAAAATACAATGATTCTATGGACAAGTGACAATGGTCCGGCAACCCCACGGCGCTTTGATGCAGGAAGCTATGGAATCTTCAGTGGGGAGTATGCTGGGTATCCTTGGACTGGGAAAGCCAGCACTTGGGAAGGTATAGTTGTGAACAGAGTGTGTTTGTCTTTATAGCAGACGGATTCTCCTGACACCTCATTTGTCCTTCTGGCAACAAATCTAGGTGGCATCAGAATGCCTGCCTTTGCTCACTGGAAAGGACAAATTCAACCCTTCAGTAGATCTTCTCAAACAATCAGCTCCATGGATGTGTTCCCTACATTCTCACACCTTGCAGGTGTACCTTTGCCTTCGGGTATTGTCTTGGATGGAAGAGACATGGCAGACATTTTGCTGCAGGAGAATGGTCAGTCAAGGCATGACTTTCTGTTCTTCTATGGCTTCTGCAATGGCCATTGGCCTCGGACCGGAGTTACTGCCGTAAGACATGGCCCCTACAAGGCGCACTTCTGCACATCACCTGGGCTTGGTGCTGGTCATGAGAGCATGACAGTTCATTACAACAAGTATCCATTGCTTTTCAATGTGGAAGAAGACCCAAGTGAGACATTTCCAATCTGCGATGGGAACACCTTGCCAGAAAATGACCCAGATGCCCGTGCTGCTATTGAAAGGATTCTGAGAGCATATGCCATGGAAAAGGCAACATTTGAGTATGGCAAGATCCCACCACTTCCCCCAGGCCCTGGAGAAGGCAAGGGTCACTATGGTGTGTGTTGTAACCGATCCACAAACTGCTCTTGTGAATCACTGTGGGATGATAACTTCCAAAGTAGGCTTTTCACTGTGGGATCAGAAGAGCATCATGCAAGGTACCATGAGTATCTTGGGGAAGAGAACCACATGAAGAGAGCCACATGAATGACATCAAATGAGTGTGGATAGTATCCATTGAATCTTGAGTTTTTTTTTTGCCCCGACGTGCTTTAAATGTATTGCACACTTGTTACAATGGAGAAGTGGTTGCGCTGACCCAAGAGAACTAGACACTGTGGTTTTGTCTTAGCTATTAATAGTTTCGATACCAGCGTTGGCTGAGATGTTTTGTTGACGTAGTATGTAGGTCGGAAGTTCGAGGCTTCGATCACCGTTGGCGGTACATCGTACCTTGGAGGCGTAAGGGTGAAGCGTTGGCTGGGATCCTTGTTGACATGGAATAGGTCGAAAGGAGGAAAAGTTATTGGCTTCGATCGCCGTTGGCGGTGCCGTTGTCGAGTCGTCGTAGCACATGAGTAGCGGAAGTTTCAGAGTACTGGTAGCTCTGGGGGAGTCAGTTTGTTTCCCGCTCTGAAACGGGACAGTACATGTAGGGGGGAGGAATCCGGTAGCTAGCTCAAAAGCGACAAACGCCATGCAGACTCAGCGACGGCGATCCCCAAAATACAACTAGATGCATTTGGCTTCCAGTCAACCACGATTATTCTCTTGGAGTGTCGGAACATCAACCTGTGTGCCGATATGTATGTAACACATCCCCTTACCAACCAAATACGCAGCTTACTAGTAGTTGGCAACTATGAAACGATCTACTGCTGAATGAGAAAGCACCATCGAAACGTACCGGAAGAAGCAAGAAATCAATATAAGAGAAGAAGAAGCACGCCATCCCTGCGCTTTTCTGCTCTTCATTTGAAGGGAAAGGGATACAACGAGTTCAACATTAAATCAACTGTGACCTAGCTAGCTACCGTAGAGCCGGTGAGGCTGATAGGAACATAGGCATTACAGACCACCACGAGCGATTGAATGATTTCTCGAATCAAAACACTTCAAGTGCCGCTGTGTCCCTTGTGATTGGTACATATACGTTCTTGCTGATGCGCCGCCGTTGTAATGATACCGGCATGGGCAGCTGTAGTTGCGAGCAAGCTTGTCCTATCCAGGTTGCTTCCAACCACATTACGGGTTGTCGCCACAAAGTCCTCGGCAAGACGAGACACCGAGACACTGTGTCATTGACATGCTCCGACCGCTTTGGTGCCAGCCAACCTTCTTGGTTCCAACGTCAGTCATCTCCTTACCTAACATCACACTTTTCCTCTTCGAACCTTTGTTGTCTTCAGAAATCGGCAACACGATCAGTGCCATAAAGGGAAGAAGTCCTTTCAAACTCTCCCCTCAAGATCCCGCAGATGCCGACCATTGCATCTATCATTGCTTTATGCTTTTCAGCGACACAAAACGGCGAGGTGTGGGGGAAAGGAATACACGACCCAACCTGATTATATCCTTGAGTGCCGTTCAAAAGATCTTGTTGATGGAGAGATCCGGAGAGAGAGGAGGCGTAAAGCGTAGCTACAGCACCAGTATCTTTGGAAGCTTCTCCAGCATCAACGAACTCGACACAATCTGAATACAATCCATCTTGTCTGCCATCACCATGAACCAATTGAAAACATTTCTTTTGTTGCTGGCAGTGCTGACATCCACCAAGACCCGAGTTGTCAAAGCTCTTCGAGATCCCTTGGATCGCCCAAACTTTGTTCTCTTCTTTGTGGATGATCTTGGATACGGAGATCTGGGATTTACGGGACATCCCACAACCTCCACACCCAATATTGACAAACTTGCCTGGAATGGCAAAACGTTGACAACTTGGTACTCCGGATGCTCAGTATGTTCTTGCTCCAGAGCCGCTCTCATGACAGGGCGCCAATATCCAAGAACGGGCATCCGTGAAGTGCTGGGAGTGGTGGATACCTTAGGACTGCCGCTAGAGGAAGTCACTATTGCGGAACAGCTCAAGAAAGTAAACTACACCACTGGGATAGTTGGAAAATGGCATCTTGGTCAGCGATTGGCATACTTGCCAAGCAACCAAGGCTTTGATTATTATCTGGGAATTCCATACAGGCAAGTTCTAGAATATGAATACATTTATTTCCTTGCAATGATCTACTCCATTGTGTGTGGTTGTCCTCATTGCTAGCTTCCTTGTTTCCTTATACACTCCAGTGATGACATGGGAAACGGCAAGGAGACGAGTTGTTCTGGAGACAGAAAATCTGAGGATCCCCAGACAGAGGAGCAGGACAAAATGAAAGGGAAACCACGACCTCCCCGTGACAACGATTATGCAGCCTGGTACCTCCCGCTTGTCTATCAAGAACATAACAGGACAAGAATAGTGGAGCAGCCTCTGGATCTCACAAAGTTGGCACAAAAGTACAACCATTTTGCAACAAAGTTTATTGAAGACAACAAGGATGACCCCTTTTTTCTTTACTTTCCCTTCTCCCATGTTCACACAACATCAGGGAACAATAACAAGTGGAATTCCATGCCAAACAAGCAATATGCTTCCTGCAGCTTTCAGAACAGAACCAAAAGAGGGGCCTTTGGGGATGCTCTAGCAGAAGTTGATTGGATGATTGGCAATGTGTATGAGACTCTGCAATGTTTGGGACTAGAAGAAAACACCATTATATTATTCACGAGTGACAATGGACCCTGGACTCCCCAGCACTATGATGGCGGAAGCTACGGGATCTTCAGTGGGGAGTATGCTGGGTATCCTTGGACTGGGAAAGCCAGCACTTGGGAAGGTAGGCATGCGACCTTGCTGTTTATCTCCTGCAAAGGTGTAAATCTTATACTTGTGTGTCCTTCTGGCAACAAATCTAGGTGGAATTAGAATGCCCGCCTTTGCTCACTGGAAAGGACAAATTGAACCCTTCAGTCGAACATCTCAAACAATCAGCTCCATGGATGTGTTCCCTACATTCTCACACCTTGCAGGTGTACCTTTGCCTGATGGTATTGTCTTGGATGGAAGAGACATGGCAGACATTTTGCTGCAGGAGAATGGTCAGTCAAAGCATGACTTTCTTTTCTTCTATGGCTTCTGCAATGGTTATTGGCCTCGGACGGGAGTTGCTGCTGTAAGACATGGTCCGTACAAGGCACATTTCTGCACATCTCCTGGGCTCGGGGCATATGAAAGAACACCAACGAAGTATGACAAGTATCCGTTGCTTTTCAATGTGGAAGAAGACCCAAGTGAGACATTTCCGATCTGTGATGGGAACACATTGCCAGAAAATGACCCAGATGCCCGTGCTGCTATTGAAAGGATTCTAAGAGCATATGCCATGGAAAAGGCAACATTTGAGTATGGCAAGATCCCACCACTCCCCCCAGGCCCTGGAGAAGGCAAGGGCCACTATGGCGTATGTTGCAACCGATCCACAAACTGCTCTTGTGAATCGCTGTGGGATGATAACTTCCAAAGTAGGCTGTTCAATGTTGGATCAGCAGAGCATCATGCAAGGTACCATGAACATCTTGGTGAAGAGAACCACATGAAGGACACCGTTTGATAGTGTTTGATAGTGTTCCTGTAGTTTTAAAATGGAATCGGTAGTACTCATTTGCTCCTATGGTGTGCAGCATTCACTGGCTAACCAATGCAACATTGCCAGATCCAAGCTAGTAGATCTACTGTATGGCTAAAGTTTCAATGCATGTATCTAATTGTTTTATGTTTGCGTTATCATGTACTGTAAGGAGTGACGGAGGGACTAACGTGATGTTTTGCCTTTTAGGCTGCTGGCGCTGACACTCGTTCTTCCAATGCATTGAGGTAGAAGAAGAAGTAGTCACTCTCGTCCACTTGCAGGCAATAGTCAGGACAAGCACCAGTATGCGAAGAAGCGGGCGCTCCAATTCCGACCAAAGCTCGCAGGAATTCGTTCTGCTTTCTTGCCTCGTCCGGGTTTCCTAACCTCTGCTGGCTGTACACCATGTTATTGACCAAAGCCAAGATAAGTATGTCATCGAAGATTCCCTGGTCATCATGCAGTTGAATGATCTCGAAGGCCATTTCATAGAGCCGAAGGGCAGTGCGAAAGCGAGCCTCGATTTGTGTACAAATACCTCTCAGGTGGCTTACCAAACCAAGATTGTACAGGACGCAGCTCAGGATAACATCAGGATGTTTGGCAGCGCTGTCCGCTAAGACCAAGGCACGGCTGTAAACAAGACGATAGTCATCGTCGACATTGCCGCGGCCGTCGGCATTCAATTTGATGGCTGCGCTATGAACGAGAGCAGAGTAATCTTCTTCCTCGTCCTCCTCCACTCCCCATTCGCTTTCATCTAAGGATCGGAGCTGCATTTGCCCTCGATCCGTAGCTTTACCGATGGGCGAGGAGGGCGGGGCAGAAGGAGTGGATTCCACACACACCATCGAGGAGTCTTCGTCTTCTCTGGCTTGCTGATACAGGGTTTCCATCGCCTCCTTCAACATTCTCAGGCATAGTTTTTCGCTGCCGTGTCGGAGCATGGCAACAGCCCTGTTGTTCAAAGTCAGCACTCTCGCGGCGGTAGGATTCATCGGGTCTTTTTGGTTGCAAAATAAATGAAACTAGAGAATCAGATTCTTGTGTCGTCTACAGCTCGTACTGGTAGTAGCTTGCTTCTGACTGCAAGAATCGTTTTGTGGCTTCCTCGTGTACGAAGTGCGAATATGTGATGGATGGGGCGGACTGCATTGCAATGCAAACCATAGCCAAGCGAATCAGAATCAAGTCCTTCTCAACCCGACTGTGCGGTTGCGAAGGTTGAAACGGTGAAACAGTGTGGGATCGGCAGTCATGTGCCAGTTTACAGTAGAAGAAGCCCTTTGCAGCACAATCAAGAACTCTATTGTCACTAGGAATTATTGCATCTTGCCTCAGAATATCTTTTTGTTCTTGAAAGAAGGGTGAAAAAGACTGTAGTTGGAAGCAAGCTAGAGTGACGTACGCGGTAGCTACTCCCAGCAAGTTAGTCGGGTTGTTTGAAGGAAATATTATAATAAATTTGAAAGAGGAAAAACGCGGAGGGTAGAAGTGTAGAAGTGCCTCATTCACAGATTCTTTTCACACCTTCTGATGACTCAAATCTGATGTTTGGGCTTGACGAATGCCGAGTGCTGAGTATCGAGTTTGGTACAAAACCTGTTTGCTGAAAAGCTTTGCTTCCCAGATTCATCATTCCTTCACACCTTCTGACCTTCTGATGACTGGGGACGGGAGCTGCCAAAGTGCGAAGTTCGTCTCACCCTCCAGCCTCCAGATTTTTCGTTGATACGTATACGTACGTGTAAACGTGTATACCGGTAGCGGTGCCAGTTCTGGTACCTGCTCGGGCTAGTAGCTAGTATTATTATTTATCTAAAGTCCTAATGGGAATAGCCACCAAGTGCCATCCAGCTAGCTTGTCCAGGTTTCTCAGGGAAGCGGAGTACTAAGTTTGTTTGCAGCAAGAAGCAGCACGGATGGAAGCATCATTTTTGCATCAGGGTGATGCAGAGGCCTCACCATAGAGCATCAATCCAACCGGGAACACACAGATACCTCGTTTGTGCACGGAGACGAAGCCAATGATCATTCAATCTTCCTCATTCGGATCGGTCATGAATCAAGCGGGATCTTCATCTACATGTAAAGTCGAATCCATCCCAGGGTGAGTTTGCTGCATGGCCTGCAGGCCAGCAATATTTCGCCTACAAGTATATAGGTACCTGGTACGGTACCAGGTAGCACTGATTGAGGGGGGGGGCGATGACGACTGACGCAGAGGTCTCTCCAAAGATTCATGTTATGGCTTCATCCAACTATCCACATGGCGGGAAAAATCAGGGATAGC